ATAATTACTTCTTATTATCATGCCGCACTACAAGGTATTTCTTTTAATCACTAGTTCTTACCAAAGTATGAAGAATACAAACTCTTGTGATCTTTGCATTTGCGTCATCCTTCCAGTTTGAGAACATTTAGATAATGTAACCTGACCTGCAAAAACACAGATCTAAGTATAGATGATACCTGCAAGAACGATTCTCTATCCACGTGGCATTATCCTCTGCAGTGGCAGTCATCACCTCTGCACACATTTCTGTTATCAGGCTTTTGCTTAGTGTGGGTGTGTGCCAGAATTTGAATAGACCTCAGTCTAACAATAAAGTGTGTGTGTGTGTGTGTGTGTGTGTGTGTGTGTGTGTGTGTGTGTGTGTGTGTTGGAATGGGATCTTAAGGCTGGTTGAAAGACAAAAAAAAACAAAACAAAACAAAAAAAAAAAAACTCTGGCTGGCAGTGGAAACAAGCAGATGCTGCTTTGGGGCATCGGGGATGCATTGAGGTCTCTCTCTCATCTAGTCTCAAATACTCAAAATTGACCACAAATAGTCCTTCCCACTAAATATGCCTTCCAGTCCTCACACATACACACAGTAGGTACACATGGGTAGTAGTGAGGAGGGGTGTGTTTGTCTTCAGGGGCTGTTACTGCATCTAAAGCACTTGGCATGGCTTACTTTCATATGACAAGGGATGAAGCCATAAAAAGCTTCTTCAGGGCAAGGAGTGCCAACCATGAGGGTAATTAAACCTTTGCCAGACAGCAACACCAACATGCACACACCAAACCCTGTCACTCACCTGCAGACACATCAAAGAGCATGTAGTGTCCAGACCCCAGCCAGGTGTATTTTCTATAACTTTTATGGATCTAAACTAAATCTGTCTGGAGTTCCAGATAAATGTGTTCACATCAATTAAAAGTTCTTCAACTGAAGACTGGTGCACTCACATGCCTGGAATATGGAGGGGATTGTCTTAGCACTAAGTAAAAGCAGAGGGACACCGATGGCCTGTATGCGCAGAGCCTAAAATCTTCAAGACAGCCCTAAAGCTCACTACCACATAACCAACTTTGACTCTTTTTTTATAAAATCCTGCTAGTTGCTGTAACTATTTCCATCTCACAAACAGAAGGATGAAGCAAAACAGTTACATAAAATATATAAATCTGGGACTCCTGTTAAATTCGAAAATAATAGTGTTCATATTGTTCTTCCCCTTTGACCAACTCTGCAGTTATGTTGAGCAACAGAAAAAGTTTACGAGTCAGAGCCATCACATGCAGGCCTTCAGCACATCGTGAAAACCAGAAAAACAAACAGAAATTTAGAGGCACGGGGACACACACCAGGCAAAGCAATATGTACGAAAATCCCCTGGTTTAAATCAGGCTTGACATTTGACAGAAGCAAAAACAAACTCAAAGTTGGAAACTGGTGTAACCCCAGCCTTTCCACCATATATGAAACCCCGACAGCTGGTTCCACTTTGCCTCATCACACAACTGCTCATTTACAGTCAGGTATATTACCAGAACCTCCATGGACCTTTTTTTTTTTGCATTACTTAAAACTTAAAGAGTGTATTTACACATATTGTGGCTGGTGGAAATAATAAACATTTGGTGGGCTGCCACATTAAATTGCTGATTGTCTCAGCTCTAAGGTTTAGCTGGATTGGAAGTGCTGATGCTTCCCCCTTACCAGAAAACATTTTAATAAGGTTTACCAGCCAAACCAGAGCAGGGCGACTTTCGGGGTAATTTTCTTAATTTTTTTTACCACTAAAAACCCCCCAAATATAAATCAAGTTCAGAGGATAAAGTCATGCAGATGATATTGTTCAGGGCAGACTCGAAGACGTGAGGCTGTTAGGAAACACAGGCCAGACACTGCGGTGTGAACCAGGCTCATAGCGTAAATAATTCATCTGTTGACAGTTCCTGGAATAGACACATAGGCAGTCAAGGGCTCGTTAGAGTGATACTCTGTCCAAAATCCATTTTACTGTCAAACGCCCATCGCGTTTAGTGTAGAAAGACAGCTGTAAAATGTTTGAAGAGTCCTGCACCTTGAATTCATGTCAGCTACAATAAATTTCACTGATGAAAAGTTAGCTGAAATAAATAGCAACAGTGAGTTCCATCAGTTCTGTCTATCCTTTGTTGGAGCGTTTCAGTCACGTTGCTGCAGATGTCTCTTAGAGAAAAGATCTGTATTAGCTGTATATAACACAGTTATTGGCCACTTAAATATCACACTATGTTCTGTAACATGCACCTATGAGAACACTTTTTAATCACAGAATATAAAGCAGAAAAAGATGCTTGAGATAATTCAAAATTGTGTTTTTAAATAAATATGTATGTTGGAAATGTCTAAATGTTTTGGCATCTGACTGCATTTGATTTAGACAATCAAATGCAACACTTAGAATTGTAAAGCCTATAATGAGAGAGACCACAAGATAGCGATAGCATATTTTATGATTCTGCATTCTTTTCAATTACAGTGTTTTTTAACATTCATTATTACTGCATGCTAACTACAGTACAGTCGAAGTAGAACAAAGGGAACGAGATTATATTAAGGCTAATGAACTACACTTAAGATATATTTGGTTAGTTCTAGAGAAACATCTTTGTGAGGTGTAATTAAAAGGTATTTAACGGCTTTTTCTCATCAGCCAATTACATTGCAGCAACTCACACATTTTGGCATGTAGAGGCGGTGAAGAGGACCTGCTGAAGTTCAAACTGAGCAACAGAAGGGGTTTAGGAAAGCGACTTTCAATGTGACATGGTTGTTAGTGCCAGAGGTGCCAGACTGCTTCAGGCAACAGTAACTCAAACAACCACTAAGGTATGCAGAAGACCAAAATTTCATCCAGGCTAACCAAAACTGGGCAAGATTGGAAAAACATTGCTTGTTCTGTCTTTATTTCTGTTTTAACATTCAGATGTCACAATTTGGTGTAAACAACATGAAAGCAAGGATCCATCTGCCAGTATCAGTTGTTCAGTCTGTGGGGCATATTTCCTTGCCATGCATGGGGTCTCTTAGTACCAAGTAAGCATCATTTAAACACCTACCAGAGTATTGTTAGTGATCACGTCTATCTCTTTATGACCACAGTGTACCCATCTTCTGACAGCTGCTTCCAACAGGAAAATGTTGGTCTTTGTGTATCCACAACAGTGGTACCTATAGGATAACTTGACTGCTCATCGAGAAACATTGTTTTAACCTGACAACACTGTTTAAATGGCACAGACTGCACGTGTTACCATTCTGCACAACATCTCCAGATTGCAGCTTTGCCAAAGCAACAGATGACTTGACGAAGTCTGAAAGTGACGAGTGAATGGATGCTGAGCTCCAGCTCAATCTGTACTACATCCAAAGAGAGACAGATGAGGATGAAACAGCGGATTTAACATGCTGACGTTGACAGAGATTTCATTAACCACAGCACATGGCCTGAACCGAAAGATTAAATTATTCAGACTTCTCTAAGACAAATTCAGAACATATTGATGTGCTACTACAAACACTTTAAGTTTATTCTTTTGTGTACTGACCTTACAAAAGTGTGAAGCAAAAGTCAAGCAAATAAATAATTTTCATCCACATTTGGTCTTCTGATACTCCTAATTCTATTTTCATATCAAGGGACAAACATATAATATTTACTTTCAACAAAGGAATACAGGAATAATTGAAAAATCTCTCTCCCTCTGAGAGAGACATAATTTCGCTCTCTCTCGCTCACTATCTATAGAGAGATATGATAAAGATATCATATGATTTAAAGCCCCTATGTTTAAGAGTGATAATGACCTGTTCTATAGTTCTAACTATAAACACATCACTCACACAACTGATCAATAAAATTGTTGGTGCAACCTCAAACATAGTAATAAAAGTTTCTTTATAATTCTTAAGCAAAATCCTGAAGCTTTGAATTTTAGGGCCTGTGACTTTAAGTAGATGTAAGTGGATTTATTGGTTTGTCCTTCTGCAGCGTGCAGGAATCAGGAGAATGAGAGCAGATTTGAAGGTAGGTTATTTATAACAGAGCTACTGGCCAAAAGCTACGTTGTTATCCATTATCATCCCATGACATGAAAAACATCAAAGATGGATATAACACAGGTATTCCTTGTAACAAAGAAATATACAAATGACTTTATACACAGATTAAAGTGGTGCATACACACTGCGAGGTGCTTTCTGCAATTAGGCAGAATTGGATGGTAGTCTGTAACACTTCAAGAACAGGAAGTGAGTGAAGGCAGAGGCAAGGATTAAAGGGTGGAAGCTGAAAATGGAAGAATGTTGCACCAAATTCAGGAAGGAATTGAGAATGGTTCTGGGTAGTAATGAAGAGTTACAAAATGACTGGGAAGGTACAGCCATAGTGCTGAGAGAAACTGCCAAGAATCTGTTTGATGTATCCTCTGGACAACGGAAAGAGGACAAGGAGACTTAGTGGTGTAATGAGGAAGTACAGTAAAGTATTCAAAGGAAGGGGTTGGGAAAGAAAAAGTGGGAGATGAAGGAAGAAGACAGTAGTACAGGGAGGCTGGACATACGGCATAGAGAGGTGGCAAAGGAAAAGGCTTATAGTGAATTGTATGTGAAGCTGGACAGTAAGAGAAGAGAAATGCACTACAGATGGAATAAGTTGATGAGCCATGCCAAGACGCCATGGCAAAGAGTCGGGGTGAGGTGATGATCAATGCTGAGAAAGAGCTCTACAGATGTGATGTTTGCTTTGAGAGTGCTGATGGAGAACTACAGAGGTCAGAGGGAGTTATACGGGGTCTTTATGGATCTAGAGAAAGCATGATAGGGTTCCAGGGACTGTGGTAACTATGAGGAAGTCAGCAGTGGCAGCAAAGTATGTGAGGCTGGTGCAGAACGTGTATGAGAATGTGATGAGGTGTGTGGTTGGACAGGTGGGATTTTATCACAGATTGGCTCAGAGCACTTTTTTTTTTTTTTTTTTTTTTTTTTTAAATTGGCAGAGGCTGACAGATGAGGTCAGGTAGGAGGGCTCTGGGAAGTCTCTCCTGGAAGACAGTCTGAAAAGGTGGAGGTCTGCACTGAAGAGAAGGGGAATGAAAGTCAGCAGAAGCAGGACAGAACACATTTGAAGGGGTAGGTGAACATGCGAGGAGTAGAAATAGTGACGGTAGATGAGTTTCAACAATCAAACTAAAGCAATGTATAGGTGCACAAATGAGGTGAAGAAGAGAGTGCAGCAGGGTAGAGTGGGTGGAGATGAGTGCCAGGGGTAATTTGTGACAGGATTGCAGCAACAGTGAAAAGGAAGATTTACAAGATGCCACTGAGCTCTGCTGTGATGTATGGTTTGGAGATGATGGCACCGACAAAAACATAGAAGGAGCAGAAGTCGCTCAGATTTTTACTGGGAGAAACAAGAGGAAAATGTCAATATAAATCAGTAGTTTTATCTGAAAATGACATGTTGCCTCCCAGGAAGTGAGTCATGTTTACCAGTGAATCAAATCATGTGCAAATTTAAATCAGTTTTTTGGGGTTTACAAAGAAACCCAATGACAGAGTACATGGTAGTCTATATCTTACAATAAACACGTGATTTAAGAACACAAATCTTTCATTCCAAAAACCTAACCTGAGCAGAAGTCTGCACTTTAACAAACGTAATTAATTGGGGATTTGCTTTGCGGATATTAAAAAACCTGCATGTATAACCTTTAAATTCACCAAAGAATGACTCCATTATATTTGAAATATCAGCTGTAATTGCTCCAGTGCGTTCCATCAACCACCACTAGCGCATCTCACATTGAGACTATTACTCTCTGTCAATTCAGACTTGCTCTGGAACAAAGAAATGAGACAAGTTTATACAAAACACAGGGGGGGTGGGGGGTGCCATCCAAACTTAATATGCTTCAGTTCTTTTTGTTTATTGCCATTAAACCATTTTACAGTCACAACCTCTCTTGGCAAGAGTGACACTCACTTTTATATGGAAAAATGGGTTTATGATCTCCAAAAAAAGAACAATTTGCATTTTGGAAAACAAAAAATATGGGTCAGAGACTTAAAACATACACAGCTTTAAATCAAAGTGCTTATGACAAATAAAATACAAACACTTCATTGTATTACTAATAAAGAAAGCATGTCTCCAGTTATAATCTGAGGTAAACCAGGGTGGAGCTGCTGTTTTCATGTACTTTTGAAGTTTAAGCAAATCTTTCAAAAAGAAGAAAAAAACCCAAACAGAATCCAGGGAAAGTGTTGAAATAGTGAAGGAGAAGGGATGTCATCTTGAATAAGCTTCTGCAGACCAACACGATGAGAATTGTATTATTTAATGTTGTGGAGGATCGATCTAAGGTTCAGGCAGAGGAAAGCGTGTGTGTTTTTGGTTTTGTGATGCAGCTCTTCTATTTGGAGATGCAGGGAGGAAAGTTCAAACAGATGATGGTTCTTCCTGGAAAAAGTTGAAAGAAAATGAAAAACAAAGTGTTTGTCTCTACCTGCTGTGAACAAAGTCCATTACTGTGCCGTTTCAAATTTCACATTATGTCTCTAGCCTCCAATGTTGCATATCAAAAATACAAATTAGTGCTCCATGGCACAACATAAGACGTTTTGGGACATTGTTTAGGTTGTTTGATTAGACTGCTAATATGCTAAATGCTAGCAAACATATCCCTTAAAATCTAGTAATGTGAAAAGGTCTTGCGCCCACCCCTCATTTCTTTATATCTTTTAAGGAAAATGGGAGCTGAAAGCGATTTAATAAAACCTGTAAATGTACATGAAAACAGGGTCTAAGAAGCAAATTTAGCATTTACAACATTCTAACAAGCTTAAAAATCAATATTTGTTATGACCAAATGTATTATTCGACACAGCCTGAGCTTTTATAGCCAAGCTTTGTTGTAATTTCTTTCAGTTATCTTCGGTAATAGTTCTCCAACATTAAATGCGCTTCTTGAAGCACAATCAAAGCTCTTCTTTGGATGTTGGCGGCATTTTGTTCCATTCTCTGTCAAAATGATCCCACACCACTTCAATAATGTTGCGGTCTGGGCTCTGAAGAGGCCAGTGCATAACTGACAGTGTTTGATTGTGTCACTTTCTATTGAGGTGTACTTTTAGTACACTGGCAGTGTATTTGGGATCACAAGCTAAAATGCAACCCCAAACCATGACAAAGCTGTTATACCTTCCTCCCAACCTACTCATGACAGACTCATGATGATTTGAACCAAACATTTCGAATTTTGAAATGAGAAATTTTATGAAAGACTCCATAAAACTTTTGCTACTGATCTCCAACCCAATAAATAAAAGAAAACATTCCTCTAAAAAATGGTGCAGTATTAGGACTGGACTGAAAAAGAGTGAAAGAGCATCCAATATCCAGGGTAAAAACAAAAAGCTGTGACCTGAAGCTGTGCAAAGGATGAACAAATCCATGTTGAAAATGCAAAGACAAATCTCGTGTATTCCTGGAGTAAGTCGTGACAATCCACAAAATAAATGTTGCAAAACATGTTCACTTCCACTAAATCTTCTATTCAAATGCTGATTGGCTATTAAATATTTCTATTCATGAAGTCAAACGTAAACACATGAATCCAAGCAGGCAGGTAGTTTTTAGCCACGCCCAGAGAAATGCTTCCATGTTTAATATGGACATCACTGTGTCTACCTGATGTTGGAGAGCTTCTGCAGAAGGATGGAGAACTTCTCCAAAGATGGGAGGTCCAGATGAGGGTTTTTAAGAAGCAAGAAGGATGTTTGGAAAAACTCTTCACAGCTACATGCATCCAGAAAGGAATTTAAGTAGCCTATGAGCACAACAACAAAAGCAAAGAGAACAGGATATTATCAAGGCAATCAATTCTGATGATCTGCAACACATTTTATTCAATGTCAAAACTTCTAAAGAGATGGGAATTATCAGCTTAATTTTGCCAGCAAGAAAACTACACGAACACACCAACAAACCATGAATAACACAGAAAAACAGGAACACATATGCTGGTCAGAGTGTCTCTTAGAACATTGTATTTCCATATTGTCACTTTTAACTTTGACCTCAAACCTCAAACATACACAAACTCACACAGGGAGATGAAACAAAGGACAAAAACACCAGTGCTCACAGATGGGAGCTGTAGATCTCTTAAATTAATAACAGCAAACGTTGACCTTAAAATGAAGACGATTTCGAGTAAACAAACATTTGTTTCTGCTAAAAGTCACATTCCCGCTCCTTGAAAAAGTAGCTGTTTGTTAAAACACACATGCAGCGAGGGAATACAATCTGAGCAACAGAGGGACTTTTTTTGGCTGGTGAAGCAGCGCCACTGGCATCAAATCACAGCGGAAGATGGATGGGGAAGAATAGCACCGGGCTTAGATAAGAAAGGATCAGACAGATAGAAAGATAATATGACAAAGATAAGAAGGGAAACATGGATTGGTCAGTCTTTTTCCAACAATATCTTACCCTCAAAATCACTATGGATAACTATGGTAAAATGAATACTACTGGTATTCATTTTACAGCTTATAGGTACATTTGACAAATTTCAAATTTAAGCATTTTTAAACTGCCTTTAACTCCAGACTTTTAATGTAAGCTTAAACATGGCCCACACAGACAAACATAATCCACCAGTGAAGCAGAAGGTACAAGGCTCCAACTAATTATATGTTTCAATAAGACAATTATTTTTAATATAGTCAAATCAAATGTAGAATAAACAGTGTTATCACCAAAACTCCCCAAGGTCCTGTTATTTAAAGCTATGCTGGGTTAATAGTTGAAAAGATTGAGTTACTGGTAGGGAATGTGACTACCTCTGTACAAGAAGAGGCGATTTGACCACAGATGTTTGGTACATTTGTGTATAAATGGACCTTTTTACATTTTTTAAAAAAATTTTTTATTGCTAACCTTAAGGTGTAAACCTTTCCCCCTCTTCCTCAGCCCTTTTCCATCTCCCCTCATTACTGCTTGTAAAACAGAATAATTAGCAAGTCTCGCAAGGCTTACAATCCCCTTGAAACACACAAATATCTGCACACACATACAAACACACAGACCTCAGTCCCCAGTCGCCTCTGGCATATGGTCCTGCTGTTTATTAGTATGCAGCAGTTTAAATGATACGGCTCATAACCCTGCTGAACTCACCCTTCCATGAAAACACACTGCAGCTGGTATCTTAACCTTGTCCACCTCCATCTACTTTTTTGTCTTCCAATAAGTAAGACAGAAAGTGGTAGGGGTCCAAGGTTTTATGACCACAATTTCCAGATCTATTGCCTGACCACTAGTTATGATTGATCTAAGTTCAGAAAAAAAAAAAAAAAAAAAAAAAAAAAAAAAAAAAAAACACAACGTAATTTTTCACATGTGGTTTTTATGTGGGGAATATATGGAGTGATACACCAGGAGGGCTGTTTTAACTCAAAGAAAATTGTGATATTCAAAGCAGTCTATAAATCAGGGCTAGCAAAGTAATCACAGCAGCTTTGTCAATCAAAACCAGTTTTTAGGCAATATGAATTATACAGTTTTAAAATTGGCTCATAAGCTGGATAAAACTTGAACCATCCATTTAAAAAGTTGTTTTCAAAGAAGTCAGCAGAATCTAAATAAAAGAGAATGCAATATGTTTTAAAAAAATGAACTCTACATTTTATTGGAAATGGTGAAAACATAAATGTGCTTATTTTAAATTGAATTAAAATAACCTTTTTAGAAAAGTCAGGAGAGGGACTTCTTTACCAATGTGTTGCATCACTTCTTTTTTTTTTTTTTTTTTTTGCTTAAAGCCTTTGGGAACAGAAAAGACCAACTACTACCATCTCAAAACATGTTTTATACACAAGCTTCCTGTGTTGTTTCCTCCAACTGTAATGAACAAATTGTACACTTTTAGAAAACTCATCCTATAATAGTAATAGGAAAAAGCACTTTCTATATGAAAAACAGTTGTGGTCAGAGGTTTACATACACTCATCTTGGACATGAATTTCATGGTAATTTGAGTCTTTCAACCCCTACTAGCATTTCGTTAATTGTCCATCAGGACCCCTGACCACTCTTTTTGGACTTTTAATTGGATCGTTTTACTGGGACAGACTCTGCTTTAAAGCATAATCCATAAATTTTCAACACGGTTGACAATGGAGCTTTCCAGCAGCTGAAAATGTGCATGCTTTATCCATTCCAAAACCAATTTTGATGTGTGTTTGCGATCATTGTCATGTTGGAATACCGAGACACGTCCAGTTTTAAATGTGTAGCTGCTGAGTTCAGAAGAAGTTGAAGAATTCGGATGTAGCCCTAATTTTCATGATTTCACCCACTTCCTAAAATGTACCAGTACCACTGACCACACAACAGCCACAGAGCATGATACCACCACCACCATGCTTGACAGCTGGTACAGTGCTTTTTGAAAGCCTGATATTTACTGAGGTCTTTAGTACCTTCTTTGTTGGCCAACACCCTCTCAAGTCCAATATAAAACCAACTTTACTGTGGACAGGGGCACTGGTGTTCCAACAGTTTCCAATTCCTTCCAAGCTTGAGCCTTGGTTGTTCCTGAGCCTCATCTAAGGGTAAAAATTTAGGTGTTCTCTCCAAGACCTTGGCAAATTGGTGACACATCTAAACAACTCATATTCAATTGTTTAGAAATGGCTTCAAGTGCCCTTCCCAACTTGTGTAAATCTATTGGTCAATCAATTAGTAAAGCTGGTAAAGAGAAACTACCAGTTATAGTCCATCATGATCACTATTGAGATGTTAAAAGGCCTTAAAAGATTGAGCCAGTATATATACACACTTTTGACTCTGTGTGGATTAGAGAGAGAAAAAAAAAAGACTTGTATTATTGCTTTTTAAGCACTCAGTCTTTGTTAAATAATTAATTGTTTACCATTATTATGGGATGTCCATACAGGAAGTCATTCTTTCACTGGGCATTGGTTTGTAGATAATTATTGGTCCTGGACATTCCAAGGTCCAGTTGCCTAGGTAACTCTCTAATGTCTTTACCACCCTGTAACATTTCAATCAACAGTCGCCCTCACTATGATTAGTAGTTACTTTAAAGTTTCACCTTGAAGTTCAGAAAAGTTTCACTCAGAACATGCTCACTTTGGGTTTGTCTGTGGTTATTTTGCTTGTCATTGCTTGGAGTTGGTGAATGCCAGTGACGGTCTATGGTTTCATGTTGCTGCCCCTTGCTTCCCTTGTGAATGTTCTTTTAAAATATAATTGCTGATACCTTTAAAGAAACTATTCTGGATTAAGAAAAACAAAAACAACACCCCAAACAAATCAAGGACCACCTCAAACAGCATTAAACTGTCAGATAACAGAGCATCAATAGATTTTAATATCTTCTAACATTGTGCAAATACCAAGTATCTTAGATTTAAAAATGTTTTCAATCGTGAAATTGTTTTTGTTATCACTGTAGTGTAAGGTACAATCATTTAAATAAATAGACTACAGTTATTCACATTAACAGATAGTATTCATGTATCAAAAACCTCTTCATAAAAAGATTTGACAGTTTTGTGGAAAAATATGAATTAATGACATAGTCAGTATGGGTTCAGAAACAACAGATCAACAGCTTTGGCACTGATAGATTTAATGGAAAAGATAACGGAATGTATGGATAATAAGAGGTATGCGCTCGGAGTTTTCTTAGATCTAAAGAAGGCGTTTGATACTGTTAATCATGAAATTCTATTAAAAAAACTGGAAAAGTACGGGTTTAGGGGAGTGGTTTTGGAATGGTTAAAAAGCTATGTAGGGAATAGGCAACAATATGTACAAATAAATGAATATAAATCTAATTTGATGGATATAGCTTGTGGAGTACCTCAAGGTTCAGTACTGGGTCCAAAAATGTTTATTATGTACTTAAATGATATCTGCAGAGTATCGGAGATTTTAAAGTTTGTAATATTTGCAGATGACACAAATATACTGTGTTCAGGTGTGGAGTTGCCACAGGTTTTGGAAATGATCACACAGGAATTAACGATATTAAAGAAGTGGTTTGATATAAATAAATTATCATTGAATCTAGATAAAACCAAATTTATGTTGTTTGGAAACCAAAAGAAAAACATCGAAGTAGAAATATGTGTTGACAATGTATATTTAGAAAGAGTAAATGCAATAAAATTTCTTGGGGTGATCATTGACCACAAGCTCTGTTGGAAGCCACACATTACTTATGTTCGGGGGAAATTGGCGTCCTGGGGAAAGCAAAGCATATGTTGGATCAGAAAGCACTGCACATTTTATACTGTGCTTTACTACTGCCATATATGAGCTACTGTGTAGAGGTCTGGGGAAACACATACAAAAGTAACACACAAACAATAACTACAATACAGAAAAGGGCCATTAGATTAATAAATAATGTAGGGTACAGGGACCATACAAATGCACTCTTTGTCAAAATGCAAGCTATCAAATTCCAAGACTTGGTGAAGCTTAAAACAGCGCAAATAATGTATAAAGTAAGAAATAAACTGCTTCCCAAAGAAATCTGTAAATTGTTCATAGAAAGAGAAGGTGGGTATAACTTAAGAGGGAAATGGAATTTAAAAATACAAAGTGCTAGAACAACTTTAAGAACTATGTCTATCTCAATTGCAGGAGTTAAATTATGGAACAGTCTAACAGAAGAAATAAAAGACAGTCAAAACATAAAACAGTTTAAAGTAAAATATAAAAACCTAATTTTAAATAAGTATAAGAATGAAGAAAACGGGGTTAACCCAGGACGGTAATGTTGCTGGAAATGGTGTTGCGGTTCTTTTTTGTTTTTTTTGTTTTGTTTTGTTGTTTTTCCATAACTTGTGTATCTGCAAATATACACATTCTGTATTTTTCATATGAAAGAAACTATACTGTGGTGGGGCTTGCTAATTTCTTGTTTTGATTTATGTATGTTATGTTTTGTTTTACTTCATATGTTTCATATGTTGTTTGTTTAATTTAAGACAAAAAAAATTAAATGAATGAGAGGTAAAACTTGAGGGGGTAGGGACAAATAAGTAAATACTTCAGCCTACTCCTTTTCAAACAAATAATGGAATGATATTTTGTAATGATTGTGAAGGCACATGTTTGAAATGTTTGAAATAAAAATGAACTGAACTGAACTGAAATTCCCACTTTTTAATTATTTCCTAGGGTGTGTGATACCAGTGACTGAATGGTAAATGGACTGGTTCTCATACAGCGCTTTTTAACTCTGAGAACTCAAAGTGCTCTATATAAACTTGCCTCATTCATCCATTCATACAAGCACTTTATTTCTATGCTTTTTCTACCCAAGTGCTTTCTATCTAACATTCACACATATTCATACTCTGATGGATGCATCAGAGAGCAACTTGGGGTTACTACCATGCCCAAAAACATTTGGCATGCAAAACGTCTTGCTACTCAATGCAAATCTACTACTACTACTGCTACTCAGCAGGCACACGTATCAACATTCATGAACTGATCAGCATTGACCCTTTTAGGTTAAATGTACCAGAAGGACGCTGCAGAAACTGTGAGTCACCACATTATATTCACTAAAAATAGGAAAAATAAAATTACAATGGAAGCCAAAGCCTTTTACTGTAAGCCTGTCTTTGCTCTGAGCTGCATTGGGAAAGGGAAAAAAAACAAAAAAAAAAACACGCCATAACCATTTATCTAAAAGTGTTTACCACAAAACAAGCCTACTTACAGGACTCCTCACTGAGTTTCATCAGAATGTCTATAGGCATGTTGAGCCCTGTGCGACTCCCCTGAAGCACTGAAAGCAGCCTCTGCACTCCTCCATAGTGGATGAACAGCCCTCGCTTCTCCTCATTCATCAGTTCTATATAGAGACTTTCAAGTGCCTGGGACAGCACATCAGCTGCAAATGACAAGAGTAAAGTAGAAACAGTCAAAAACACTCCAGGTGTCTAGATGAAAATGACACATTTCTTTCAGTTGAAATTATAGTCTTAAAATATATAAAAATAATATGTTGTTTTGTTTTTTACATTTAAAGTAGCTGTTTTTGTTATTTTAATTTTTTTCCCCCAATAATTTTAAAAATAATAATAACAATTATATTTAATGGTATTACTAACGATTTTTAATATATTTACATACATACATACATGTTTATCATGTTAAAAGGGTAACAGTGGAAGATCTCATTGAATTTTGTTTGAAGGTTTCCACGTGTTCATTTCAAGCTCGGAGACCTCTCGGTAGCCTAGCCCCCACCATTTTCATTGTTTTTTGTTCTTGCTGAGAATTATACATACATAAAAACAGCTTGTACAAACTGTAAAGTTAATTAAAAGAAAACAAAACAACATGCAAATGTTTATAAGTCTTGGGATATTGTATTGAGCCTCATACAGAGAGGTCCAGTGAACAGCTACAAAATGCACTTCAATCACATCTTTGCTGTTATAAAATCCATTGTTGTACAAAAACATAAAAATTCTGTATTTGTCCAAATACTTATGGTTCTAACTGTATGATTACTTATTTGAGGTTACTCACTGAGGCAGAGACCTTTCTTAGTGTATCCCTTTGCATTAGATGCATTACACATGGAAAGTACTCATTCACCAGCTGTTTCCTATCTTCTCCCACTTAACTCACAACTTTCCACTGTACTTTGGATGTAATGGCTACAGTCCTCTGACAAAGTTATTTTCAGATTTCCAAAAGCTTCATATTTTACCTGACATATGATAAAGGCCAAGCTTTGTTAGTTTAAGTGCCTGAGTTTGGTATATATAAAAATGAGCAATTAGCAAAGGAGAAGAAATATCTCTTTCTTACAGTCAATTTGGCTCCTCAACAATCCACAAGGAAAAAAAAAAAAAAACTAAACCTGGTAGGCAGATTGACAGAAAACAGTCTGCACTGATGTGCTGAGGGAGCCCTCGAGCAGACGGAAGGTCATTTTAGAAAAGAGTTTCATAAAATATGTCAGGATTTGTCAGGTTTGTGGGCTGAACTCAGAGAGCCAACCAAGATTTATAGTGTGGAAGGGCAAAGAGCTCCTTGCCTCTTTAAAATATTTGCACGTAACGGAAGAGGGCCAAGAACCTAAAGCAATGCTAGCAGCTCTGTGATCTGAGGATTTTCCTTATCAAACCCAGCCGAGAGTTTAGATCCAAAACTATCACTCACTGTCAATATATAAACTGTGGATGGAAGAATAACATGTTAGTGTAACATGATGCCAATATCCTAACGTTTAGCAAGAAATGTTTACCATCCTACTGTCTTAGTTAAGCTTTGTTTAGGAACAAACAGAAATCGTGTAAACCCATCCAGCAGTTTAATATTTAAGTCTGCACTCAGACACCAAACCCTGACCCAGGTTCAACTATATAGAGCCAGGCATATCTTCTAATTATCTCAGAAAAGACAGTAGTTACTTATATTTTTTTCTCTTTCTTATTTTACTGGTTGCGAAAATTGTCACACTTATTTCTCTGAGCTCTGATGGGCTGAGACGCTAACCGTGTCTGCACTCGGAACTGAGCTGTTAGTGATGCATATGTAGTAGAAGTATAACTTGACAGAAAAAAAGCTTTTAAACCTCATTTAGGACCAAAAATGTCAAAGTTTTATGTATTTTTTGTATCATTCATTTCCTTGGAAAATTAAATGTGACCACTGATTCTATATATGCAGATTTTATATCCTAGTGACCAGTCAGTTAAAGTTATCGCTCTCCATTCATCTTTGTTTAAAAATAACATTCAAAATAACTGTCCAGCATTGTTAATGACATAGCTGCTGAGTGCTGACACTTGCTTCTAAAAGGAAACTTCAGGGCTGGCTACCTCTGAATGGCAATGGATAACAACTGGTGTGCCTAACAATGCTTTAGACTGCAGTACTGCTTTACAATACAACACAATTTTTGCAATGGAACTCAACTCAAAGACAATATTATATGTTGTTAAGGTAATTGATGATAATAAATATCATGTCTTTGGTACTTCTAATCATGACAGTGAATGCAGTCTACCAAACATGTCCATTATTTAATCTCTGCATTTATTTCAAAGTATGGTCCCATGTTTTAAATCAGAGCATAGCATCAAGTCAGTTATACTTCCAGAATATTGATCTGGTCATTTAAGTAGCAGAGCGGGGTTGTTAATCAGTCTCACCTGCTTCGGTGTTAATGGCATTAACAGCAGATGCACTAGAGCAGGGTTGGGCAATTCCAGGCCTCGAGGGCCGGTGTCCTGCAGGTTTTAGATCTCACCTTAGGTCAACACACCTGAATCACATGATTAGTTCATTACCAGGCCTCTGGAGAACTTCAGGACATGTTGGGAGCTAATTTAGCCATTTAAATCAGCTGTGTTGGTTCAAGGACACATCTAAAACCTGCAGGGACACCGGCCCTCGGGGCCTGGAATTGCCCACCCCTGCACTAGAGACACAATAATTGGGCAACCCGCAAAACAGTAATGGTTTTACAGGTGGAGGCCTCTGCCTTTTTTCCCCAACCATCTTTTTAATGTATTTTCTCATTAGTTTTGCATTTGGCTAGGGTTAGTCTCACTATTGGTAGCATGATGAAGTTGCACAGATAGTGCAACTCCTTCTAGGATGGCACATCAATATGTCCCTATTGCCAGAAGATTCACTGTTGCTTCCAGCACAGTCTCAAGAGCATGGAGGAGACTCCAGGAGAAAGGCAGTTACTCTAGGAGAGCTACACAGGGCTGTAAAAGATACTTAACTCATCCGCAAGAATGGTATCTGCTCCTCTGAGGAAGGAGGGACATGATGAGCACTGCCAGAGCCCTAAAAAATCTCCAGCAGGCCACTAGTGTGAATATTTTTGACCAAACAATCGGAAACAGACTTCATTAGAGTAGCCTGAGGGCCTGACTTTCTGTATTGGGTCCTGTGCTCACTGCACATACATATATACACATACATACATATATATACACATACATACATATATATACACATACATACATATATATACACATACATATATATACACACACACATACATACACACACACACATACACACACATATATATACACGTGTTTTCATTAATACCTTGTGTGATGGTGCTGAAGATAATGAGGACAGAAAGGATCCGTGTATGAGGACAAGGGCTTCGGTAAAGGGGCCAACTTCCAGCTGCTTCAGAGCATTTCATAGGGTGATCTGAATCTTCTGCAGGCTTTGACACTTCCTCTCCTATCCATTGCAGAGTAGCAGATGGTGCTACATGCTAGGCAAAATATACAGAAACACACACTCAGATGCTCTGGCCATTGCGCAATATTAGCAACTGTGCCTGCAATCATTCACTTTTGTTATATAACTGTCAAAACAGAAATTACATGCCTACAATGATCTTCATCAAATGCTAGTGTATAAAATACAAGGTCAGCCTGACAGGGAGCCAGCAGGCTTCTTCTGCAACTTTTCCATAACTGATGGATCTAATAAATCAGCACAGTAAACTACAGCTACTATCCAAGATTTATGTATTTTGAAAGCTGAAGAGCTGGTGGTCTTTCCCTTTCCCCAAGGTCTCCACTGGTTCACCAAGAACCCTCATCTTAAAGTCATCTCTGTTTCTCCATCTATGTGTTTTGGCTCAAAGCCAGTTGGTATTCATCATATAAAGGGAACACGTTATTTAGCAATAAGGAAGCAAGTGGTTTAACGGGCCCAAGCTCCCTGTAGCAGGACTAGTGACAAGGACTTAAGGCTGGAAGATTGGACACGGTAGAAAGTAAGTGGATAAGGACAGTTGGTGTAGGCTGAACCCAAGCTCATAGCTGGGACTGAGGCCAGATGACTGGCAGCTGGTAAGGACTTCATACGAGCATGAAAATTGCAGTCCAAGTCTGCAAATGGGATTGGGCCACGGTTTAATAATGTCTCACATTCAGATAGCAATTGCTGATATACAATGTTTGTTATCTAGGACTCTTGAGGGGCTTGTGGCCAGATAAGGAGAAGGACACACACCCTTATCAGAGCCACAAAAACGGCGACAGCCTGCTCAAATGTCTAGACTCTGTCTGACACACATACAGGCAGGGGACTTCAGAAAACCAAGCATCTCATGTAAACACAAGATGAAACTCGACAGGACTACCAAACAAGAAAGCCTTCCTTAGTGTGAAGGGAGATGTAGCGATAAAGTGGATATCCCCCGCTTGAAGTCGATGTGTACCTCTGATGTGTGGGGAGGGAAAAACTGTGTCAACTTTAGAGCCAGCCTCATGTTTTGAAATGAGGTCCAGCAGCTTTCTGCTAGCAGAATAACACTCAGCTTTATAAAGGCTGATGAAATATGAATGAGCCAGGCCACAGAATTACCTGCATCTTGTTATAGATTGTAATCTCACCCTGCTGTGTTCTTACTTTCTAAAAGCAAAGCTTATCTAGTAACAGGAATAACACTGCTGCTGAAAAGTGTCCAGAAGCAATGTTTTAGGAATAAAGCGGCTGTTACTTAGATTAATGTCCTTTCAGGCAGCTATGCGGGAGATTTAGTTTTTAAACAGTGGCAGATCATATAAACAAGATCCAGCCCATTTTGTCTTTCTTGCAGAAAAACAAACCATCCCCCCTGAAGGTCACTGTCTTGGCATCGTTTTTTCAGCACTGGCTTGTTTGCTCACAGTGAACACACGCTTAAAATTTTCATGAAAAAGAATAGTGACTGTGTTAGACTTTGTTTATAATGATCTCAGCCAGAGCTTAAATAGTCATAGCGTAACATTTCTTTCAACAACCCAACAAGAACATTTCCTAATAAATATCATGCATGGCCAAAGGTTTAATTATTATTTTTTTTAGCTGAATTCCGGTAAAAATGTCATGCTCCACATGTCCATAATATAATACAGTAAGTTCCTTGGTGCATCTAAAAATTACCTGCTCTAAAAACACAGCTTGCTCACAGAAATAATATTATCTTTACCTGCCTGCTGTTGTCCAAGTGTCTCAAAGCAGAGTAAATGAGGCGAAGCAGGTTGAGGAGGAGCTTAGGTTCTGACAAAGGAGTGTGATGAAGCTGGTCTGCTAATAACGGGAGCACCTAAGAAACCCAAGATAAGTTATGTCTAATCAAACTCTGTCCGTGTCTCATCATCTCCTGCTTTTTTGTTGTTGTGACACCAACTGTGTGTGTTGGAATAGAGCCGGGAAGAAATGCAAAGATCAGAGCAAAGCTGCATTGAGCACACCACCTTGAGGAATCTTTCGCTGAGCAGAACCTCTGAACACCGGCCTACACCTTCCACTTTGTTTTCTGTTACATCAAGCACCCACTCCAGCAGAAAGGATATGAGCTTCAGTGGAGAGGGAGTTACGCTGCCCTGAAGGAAGAAGGGTGAAAAATAAGTTACAGTTGCTGTGTTTATTAGACCTCTCCCAGCTCAAATATAATGCAAAGAAAAAGTGTTAAAAAAGAAAATAAAGCAATAAAAGTTTGACAAAACCAGCTTTCTCAGCAGGGATATAACTGTATCCAACTCTGTATATCTATCTTCATCAATAGCAGTGATGATAACTTAACATAATCACAAACTATGATTTATCATGTCAGTTGGAAGTATGCGTGTGGTTTGTGGAGAAGGGCTGTTGTACCATTTCCTTTCCGGGTATATGTAAAGAGCAGTGTTAGTGTTTGTCTAACCACACTAAACCACATGCAGCGTTTTTCACTAAACACATTAACGATAGATTAAGTAACATGGCTGTAATTAGAGGAAATCTGTAAATCCTGCTGATTGGTAGTACATTTAACTGTTAAACAAACAACCCCCCCGGTCCCACTCCCACACACAGAGACGCACGCACACACACAGAGACACACTCTGAGTAGATGAAGTACCTTGTTGTTGGGTTTTCCAGAAGCTGTTGCTTTCTCCTTGTTGCATGGCTTAAAACACTCGGTACTCTTAATACTCCCTTTGTTGCAGCTTCTTGTTGCTAAATTGTGCTCATATTTCCTCTTAAAATAATAATAAAAAAAAAAGCCAAAAAAAGTAAATGTCAATATCTGTTTTGTCTATTTACTAAAGATAACAGATATCAGAATGGCCTCCTTTATTCAACTCTCATTATTTAGATGCTGAAAACTGATTGTGAGACTAAACGTCACAACTTTAAGGCTTTTCATATAAAACATGAAGGAACGGCCTTTTCTGCACTGATATATTTGTTGTTACCTGAAGATTTTCAAGCCGAGCCTGCACCCTCTTGGATTGGCTCTCCAGCCTCTTATTTCGTTCACCGATCTCATTCAACTGTTGATTTGAAAAAAGAAAAAAAAGACAATGACAATAATCAGTGCGCTGTTGCAATATAAATTCCCCAAAAGCACTTAGATCAACAAAACAAGTGTAGACAAAGCAATCCTAATACACTGTCGTATTAGTGAACTTCCAGATATCTTATGTTGTAGCGCCCTCCTCTGGATCAACAAGCTACTGGCTTGGTAAGAAAACTTTAACTTCATTTTTGGGAACATTTGAATGGTAATTTTGAAGATGCCATCATCTTCATTTTGAATATGACATTCAAAAGTTGGAAATAATCATGCTTATGAAATGTTCAGACCTAGATTAGAAATTTTACAAATGCAACCAATTCCAACCTGCTTCTTCATGTTATCATTGAGCTCCTTGATTGTCTCGAAATTGCTTTTAAGCCTCTTGTTTTCTTTGTTTCTCTCTCGAAGAAGGTCCTGCAGCCGGCTCAGTTCATGCTGGTGTTTCTGGTGAGATGCACACATAACTGAACATTCACACAAAATGAAGATAGCAGTGACACCTTATGGAATAATCCATGACCTGTAAGTGCATGGATGGTTATGTAGAAGGTGGAAGGAAAGGGAACTATGTGTGGTGAAGAACACGTCCCTTCTTTTTAATGTAATATGATGTTTTATTCGTGTCAAACCTCCTCTATAGTCACAATGCGACTGTGGACCATCTCTTTCATCCCAGCCAGCTTCAGCAAAGCCTCTTCTTGCCGTTTTAGCCTCCTTTCTCTCTCATGCAATTCTCTCTCCCGCTGCTGCTGATTTTGTCGCTCTGCCTGTGAACACACAAATGCATGCTGAGTCTACAGCTTCAGCACAACAAAAACCGAAATACCTAACATGCCATGTTTGTAAGGTTTCTTCATTTTAATTGATTGAGCAATTCTGGACATAGAGCTTTATTTATTCTATTATGAGAGGAAGAAATATGTGTAAACCTTTAGCTGTTTGTGTATGGTCATCATTTCATGGTAAATCTTGACTAGTGCAAAGGAAGATGAGTCACATGAGTTGGGAAACTGGAAATCCCACTGCAGCTCTCTGTCACTCTCAGTTTCCTGGGACCCAGAGCTACCATCCAGATAGGAAGGCAAGGTCACATCTGGACAAGAGTATCAAGTTATTAAAAGAAAACTTTAAATCAACTTAGGATATAATTTCAGCTTCTGAGTGAAGCAGAAAACATTTGCCTTGGCAACAAAGTGGACTACTACCTGTGAAACACACATACCCATTTCTGTAAACAGCACCTGAGACTCCTGAAGTGGGACTACTGTGGAGTCTGCACTCAGGTCCTCATTGTTGCCATGCAAACTACAACTGTGCCAAATTAAACCAAACACAACCACATACAGGTTTTGCTCAAAGAAGTCATCATTAACATGCAAACACTTCCATGGTGTTACTGATCACTTACTGCTCAGGATGATTGGCGACTGCTTTGAACAGTTCATGCAAAGCTCTGTTGTAGCATTTCAACTCTTTGGACCCACCAGTCAAAACAAGTCTTTGTGCAAAGTCTAAAAAAAAAAAATATTAAAAATAATAATTCTAGTCATTCAATAATTTCTTTAATTTGTGTAGCACTGTCCGTACATGTGATGTGGCAAGTGCAATATGTGGTCTAACTTTAGAAATGTGTCCAAAATGGAAAAACTAGCTCTCAGTGAGATTTTATATCAGCAATTGGCAATTTGTATTCTCAAGGGCCTACATGAGATTGTTGTAGGCGGCCGCACTAACGAGCTGAACTCAATTCTGCTAAATATGAATTTTAGCTCTTTATAAGCTTTCCCATGAATGCCTCCACAGCAGCGCCAGTTTCCCATGTGACCCTTGGGAAAATCAACCGCCCACTCCTGTTTTAGAGCTTCAGTAATTTGCTTAGACAAGTTGAATGTTTTTCAAAACACCAAATTTTTTGCAATGGGACAATTACGCTTGAAATTTCTTTTAAAGAAAGCTGGGCTACCAGCTGCAGTAGCTCTATATACTTTGTTTCACTTAAAAAACAAAAACAAGAAAACAAAAACAACAATGTAATTTCCCCAAGACTCTCTGAACTTTTGCATTTTGTTATGTACAGAACATTGCAACCCACTGTGTCAACAGTAGCATTTGGGGCTTGTTTTTAAGCTTTTCACCATTTTTAAAATAGAAAAAAAGCTATAATTCAATAATATCATGTTAACCAGTGAAGACAAATGTGGTGTGACGTGCAATATTTAATAAATATATAACGCTTAAAGATCTGTTGGAACCCAAAAGGGCATGTGACACCCAGACTACACTTACCATCACTGGTTCCTGTGGTAGTTCCCTTTGGAGGTAGAACCTTAAAGACAGTGCATGTTTTAGAACATAGGTGCAAAAAGACAAAATGTCATATAACTATTTGTCAAATAACGTGGCGACTACTCTTACACGAAGCCTACATACACAGCTGGTAAACCAGAAATACAGAGGCTCGGTGTTCAACTAGCTACACGTTAACCTAGTCTGTTTCTTATGAATTTAGATACAGGGATGGGAGACCAGATATTAATGATTTAAACGCGTAGGTTAACGTACATTTAACCAGTAGTAACTATGTAAACAAGCTTGGTAAACGTCGGTCGGAGAACAAACAGAAGAATGGACAGGCAACTTTTGCACAGGGTAGCGTTTCCAAGATACTGCACCACAAAACTTAACTGTGTACTTCAAATTGTCAAACCTGCTTCCTCCTCTCCAAATATTGCTGCCCAGGCTTTTCCACTGTGTTATTCAAGTCGGCATCCTTGAAATGTTGGTTCATAGCTACTATTACTGTGATTAGAATCTTCCTCCTCTTCACTTTTATCCCACGAGTTTACGTAAAATAAAAAATAAAACCAACTTCCGGTTAAAACTTTCGAATTAAAACCTCTTCATGTCATGGATAAAGGTACTTTTTCTGAGCTGGTATTCTGTAAAGTCGTAACATATTCGACATTACTGGTGGCATGTTGGAAAACTTCCTTAACCAACCGTGTTCGCTAACTTTAAAGCACCATCCAAAATTTGGCGGATGATTAATCACGTGATGCATTTTCTTCAACGCCACCAGCGCTGTTTAGTGAGGGACAATGGCGCCAGCTAGTGGCTTTTAAATGTAATCAATATGAGGCAGACAGGTATAACAGCTGCAAGGAGCAGAGGCAGTGAAGGTGGATGAGTTTAAATACCTGGGGTCATCCAAGCAGGTGAAGGAGAGAGTGCAGGCAGGGAGGAGTGGAGAGGACAAAAGGAAGACCTATGAGGAGTCGCATGGATGTAGTGCTGAGGACATGCAGAGGGTTGGTGAAACAGAGGGGCATGCTAGGAATAGGGTAAAATGGAGGCAAATAATCCTCTGTGGTGATCTCTAAAGGGACCAGTCGAGAGAAGAAGAAGAAGAATATTGCTCCAAATAAAAAGAGAGAAGTACAGGACTATAAGTGACAGCAGGTGCGGAGGATGAATGTATGATTAGCATAGTCATCAGTGACTCTAATTTCTCCAGCAGTGTGTAGTCATTTGATCCACCCTTTCTGTGTTCACTAGTTTTAGGCTAATGCAAACAGTAAAGCACAATTTTTTCAGTAGCTTTTAAAGAAAAAATCAACAAAGCTTATCAAAGTTGTTTTAATTCAGCAATTTAGTGTAATCGTGTATAAGTCAATCCTCTAAAGCCCTTCAAAAATCAAGTACATTTGACATAACTCCTCTCTTATTACTTGCCTTTAAATCGCAATATTTGGCTTAAAAAGCTAAATTTTATACAGTGTACGTTTCATCTAGATTCAGTTTTGGATTGCCTGAGGTGAGATCTCTGCGACTGATGGATGAAATCTTACCGGCTCAGTTACAGTGTAGTTACACCAATCAGCCACTAAGTGTCAGTGCTTCATCAAAGACAATAGACACCATCAGTCTTTAAGCTTGTCAAATCAGTGCACAACGTCAGACTGAGCAACTCAAACATCCCACTTTCACTTACAGTTCATTTACAGTTTTTCAACGGCTATCACAACATAAATATTTGTCTTTTATATTATTACTATCGGTGATAGCTTTGTTGCATGCATTCCCTAAAATCCTGAAAGGTCACCGAAAGCAGACACTGTGCAATACAAAACTTTACATTTTTAAACAACAACAACAAAAAATATTGCATATTGTTTTCTTTTCTTTTCTATCTGACTGTATGAGCTTTAAGAAATTAAAGCTCAGTAAATATGATGACTGAATAACAAATATCAGTTGAATTCTGTGGGTTTTTAATTGCAATTTTGTAATAAAGGTGTGAGAATTAAAAAAAAATGCATAATGCATCACTATAAAGTCAATAAAAGTGCAGAGGTTAAAAAATAAAGATAAAAGAGAATCTTTATTGTGTATTTCCACAGATTAACCTTCCTGCAGCCCTTTAAGTACCCCTGTGACTCACAGTTTAGATTTTAGCCATTAGGCAGTGCCAAGTTTGCTTTAGACTTGAATAGTCTAAAATAGCCTTTAAGATTAATGTCCCCTCTCTCTGTTTGGCCAATTAGCAGCCTTCGCCATTAATACACATTCTCTTGATTCAGTCACTTTGTCCCTGCAGGCTTTTGCTTGATGCTGTGAGAAATTAGCCAGCACGCATAATAACACAGATCTTCATTAGAGCTTTTTCCTTTGTCCACTTTGTATGGAAATGACTCTTCCCATTATATTAATTGATCATAGACGTTCTTCATTCAGCGGTATTCTATCCATTTCGGCCAAAAAGAGACTGTATAAGGCAGTCAGTAGTGCGTGTAAATTTGTGAGTAGTTTTTGTTTGTGAAAGTTAAAGACTGCATAGTTGGGAGAAAAGTGCTCAGTACTTTAGTAATGTCCACTTTTGATTCATTTACATTCACTAAACAGTCCCCCCCCCCCCCCCCCCCCCCCCCCCCCCATTTATGGATATTCTAACATCAACAGCTCTCATGGAAGCAAGCAGTTTGTACACAAATTTTATGAAGAGCAGTCATGAAATTCTGGGGACCCACTCAAGATACGATAATTGGGTTTCATTTTCACTAAACAGTGGGGCACTCATATAAAGAACAATTCTGCTCTTTATTATAGCAGAGTGTATGAACTCTCCAAGCTCATGTTTTAGCATGCGGCTCTATTTATTATTGGGAGGGAATATTTCTCTCTTTAGTGGGTGAGTGTAATGAGTGTGTGTGTGAGGCAGTAACAGATATAGCGCAGACAGTAAGAAAAGATGTGGCCAACATAAACACGTGTCACCCCATGGGACACAACTAGACAAAAGCAATCAGCTCTAATCATTGAATTACCAACATATTGCTGTGTTGTATTGCACAACCAATTATCTCCCGTCTCATGATACAAGGCAACGCACATAGACACCCAAGTACTCTCACACTCAATTAAAGTGGCGATGGCAGTGCTCTGCTGTGAAAATGATTGCTTTTCAATTGGCATGACTCGTTGAGTCCACAGAGCAGTATTATGTATGCTAATGCAAGCTGTAAAAATGGATTTGCAGTTCAGGGGGTGGACTCAGAGCAATTAGAGAGCCCCAGACAAGACACTGCTACCCAGGGCAAGCAAAGCAATTTTATGAGCTCTTCCATATTAAAAAATATATTTTTTTGAAACATTTATAGGGACACGCCTGTAAAAATGTGAAGGCCAGTAGATACTGTAGCAGTAGACTGATGCATAAAAGTAGCCTTTTCTTCAGTGGGAGAAGCATGACTTCTTCAGTCTCCTAGATAATTATCCAAGCCTAAGTTAGGGGTCAATGAGGAGTAATAACATATACATATGCTCTGGTCAGCGTGTTTTCAGTCATCTCCCAGCTCTCACATTAATTGGACTTGGAATAAGCATCTAACATGCACACGACCGAAAGATATGGCTCTTCAACTTTGAGCAGCAGCTCATTCTTAACTTGGAAAGAGCGATCCATTGTTCTCTATAAGAACATGTTCAACTCCAATGCACCCTGAAGGTCACATGTCAAATAAAGCCAGTGGAAGAAACCCAAAAAGCAGAGAGGAAACTCTAATGTTCTCAAACTGGAGGCTTGTCAGGCAGGAATGGTCGGCATGTATCATAAACCCAAAGTACTAAACACAAAACTCCCTAAGGAATGTGGTTGTAAGAATTCTCCATTTCCACAGAGCAGTCAAACCCACCCCTCGGTGGTGACCAGTTGGCCATTGGGCTCTTCTTTTTCACCCCAGTGTCCAAGCTTACACTCCACTTGAACTTTATGGCTATCTTTGCAGTTTCCGGCCTCACAGCGTTCCCACTGTGCCCCACAGGTAAAGGCCCAGCCGCCGGAAAATTGACAGTAAGTGTCTCTTTCTCTCTCACTACAAGTTGGGGCCACTGTCTTTCTAAATTGGTCATAGAGACAGATCATAAGAGGCTATCTTATCTTACCAATGTTGGGTTTTTTTTGTGACTAAGTTTGAAATATTCCCACCCTCGCAGACTGAAGATCAGTCCCCAAATTTGAAAATGTTAATCTACATAAAAAAGGAATCAAAAGATCACTTAAAACTGCAGCGAGCTATCTAAGACAAAAAGAGTTCAATACTTCTAAAGTATGACACTGAAATTAAAGTAAATAATTTATTCATAGCTGAGAAGGGTCAGTGATACTACTTCCTTGTCCAGCCCTATACATTTGCATTTGTCAGAACTACTGCAATCAGCAGCCATAAAATGCCCTGCAGGATTTATCCTTATAATAACTTCTACTATTTAAGAGCCTGTAATAGCTTTGTCAGGTTATATTTATTAGATTAATTTCTACAGATTTAATTGATACATGAATATTTTAATGTTTACCCCTTACTTAGTCTAAAAGGCTCTTGGTTTCTCAGGAAACCAGGAGGAAAAGTAAAGTAAATCCACTTCTGGGGAAGCCCCTCGATAGCCACTTTTTTGTAATGAAATGCATGAAAATGTTTTAATTATTCAAAGGATTCATAGTTTATTCGGACTTTTACATTTGTCTAATCATTATGGTGCTGAAACTGAAATGGGATTTAGTGATTATAGTAAAGTAGGTGACGATAAATCTGGATAAAGTCGGGCAGAATGTTACAGTATTTCAGAGAAACTGCCTTTCATTGTTCTCGCTGTAATGCACTTCCACTGATACTTTGGAAAAGTCAGCGGTGTATAGGAGTAAGAATCATTTTTTCAAATAAAATGCGGGCACATTTAGCATATATCTGCATATAATGTTTGCAGATTACTTTCTTATATTCATTTACCTATCCATCAGCGACCACGTGCACAAACAATAATATTAATGTCCTATCATTCCTATTTAAAAAAACAAAAAACAAATCACAACACTGAATGATCCTCACCCCAAAGTGGGTATGTGCAACGTCACAAGCATACGCAGGAGATGAGTGGAAGGTGATCGGCCCCTTTAAAATGCTTTAATGATCATTTAAGTTGCGTCAAAGGCCCTTAAGTGTCAGTGGCCCTATTTTCCAGCAGAATGAATGGAGCCACTGTTAAACAGCTAGCCTGCCTTAGACAGCCTGTATAGAAACCGAATACATCAACACAGTCCGTGATAGTGAAGTTTGACCTCAACTCCCACTCACAAACATTCCTCTAAGTGTGTGTGAGTGTGGTTGTGCACCAGTGTTTTTGAACGCCTGATGCAGACATTAATATCTGATAAGTTTACAGCACTGTGCAAAAGTCATGAGCCTGTCTACATTTCTTTATATTTTGCTTCCAAGGAGCCTGACTTTGTTGTGGACTTGAGCAATAGTACCCCAGGCTTTCTAAAGGGCTGTCAGAGTTTTTCCTTGGACACTGGCTTCTTTTACCTGACTCGTTTCAGAAGATTTATTAAGCCACTCAACAGTGACCTAGAAATCATTCAAGCACAAGTGTGCCCTGCAAAGATTTGAGAAGACGGGATGATTAGAAAACAAAAAGTGGTAGGCCTTAAAAATCTATCGACAACAGATGAAGAGGATCTAAAA